CTTTAATCCACTGGGCTATTTGGCCCATCCAGGAAATACACATTTAAAGAAGCTTGGAGAAAGTTTTCTGAATGAGATATAAATGACCTGTTCCTATATTCTTGTTCTATAACTTCTCTGTATGTCCTTGTGGAGTTGAATTTCTACCAGAGTCAAACAGTGAGAAAGATATTAAATTAAATACTAAAATACCTTGATATTAAAATTAGTATCAGGGTGAGACCAGGGATCCTTGTGTTATATTATGAAAAGAATGCAGATTTCTAAAAAGCCAAGAAATCTATCTTTTAAACAGGATTTGGAAAGTACTGCCTTTAAAGGAGCAGATGGTAAGTATTTTAGATTGTGGCAGCCACAGACAGTATCTGCTGTCTGTGTTGCCTATTGGAAGAAAAAATGAGAAGTGAGGTGGGTCTAAGGAAGAGGGGCCACTGTATTTCCTAAGCCAGTGTGGGTTCTAATCATTACATTATGGTCATGCTAATTACTAGCTCTGCTGCCTGCCAGTGAAATCCATAGTTTGGGCGTTTCCCTGACGTCCCCGGCAGCTCCAGGTACCATGAGTCATGCTCAGCGATGCTGATGGGAAAGCATGAGTGGAAGGAAGCAGGTCCTTCCCGCAGAACAGAGGAAGCCCAAGCGGCCGAGCGCGCATGTGTGCCCGCGTCTAGCATTCCCACTGTCTTACTAATGTGCCCCGGTCTCCGCTCCTCATTCAGGTCAAGGATGCTGATCCTCTGAGTAATGGCTCAGTCACGACTTTTAACACCTCTGCTTCACCACATCTGTATCAAATCCACCAGCTGCAAGCCCTGGCTAATTACAGCATCGCTGTGTCCTGCATGAACGAAATTGGCTGGTCTGCAGTAAGCCCGTGGATCCTGGCCAGCACGACGGAGGGAGGTAATTCCTAAGACTCTCAATAAGCATTTCCCCCAGTGGCATGTGATTAAACAGACCCTTTCCTGCAGCCTGATTTTGAGTGTGTGTGTACTTTGTTTTGTCTAGACGTGTGTGTGTGTGTGTGTGTGTGTGTGTGTGTGTGTGGCTAGGGATTAAACTGTGGTCCCTGTGCGCTTGCCTAAGCTTGCCTAAGCAGGTGCTTTAGACCACTGAGCTGTCTCTCCGGCCTTTTTGTCTGGACTTTGTCTCTGAAGTGCATTTTGTCGACGTTGCCAATCTGATGGGAGAGAGGATATTTCCTTCTGTATTTTATAAGCGTTTAATAACCAAACTTATGTGTGCTGTGTGTTTCTTTTACATAGGAAGATGACAGCATACTTGTAAAACCTATATTATTTGTAATTAAAATAAAATTAGACCCCCAAATTACCACACATAGCATCAGGCTCAAGAAAACAAATGAGGCCTGGGGAGATAGCTCAGTGGTCTAAGCACCTGCCTGGCAAGCATAAGGACCCAGGTTCAATTCCTGGCACCACATACCATGCCAGCCCCAGAAACCCAGGCATGCTGAGCCAGCCACCAAAAGCAGGCATAGTGATTCATGCCTAATCCTAGTGCTGGAGAGGCTGAGACAAGAGGATCACTATAAGTCTGAGCTGCGTAGTGAGACTCTGTACCAAATAAATCAATAGAAACAAACAATAGGAGGATGGCTAATGCTTAAGCAAGCAAAAGCCCCATGCCAGAGA